ACGCTGCTGGGCAGGCTGACTGGGTGTAAGTGTCTTTGGGCTCTTGCTGTGTCATATCCCAGGGATGTCTGTGGGCCACCGGCCTCTCTTGCAAAGAGCTGCCCTGGCAGGGGCGCCAGCAAACGCCTACGGAGCCTGGCCACGGAGACGCTGTCTTGGGAGTTCGCAAATTTCATTTAAAGCTGAAGTGAGGTGTCCGAGTTGGTTCCTGAAACTGAACAAGGATAAATTTTGGCAGTGGGGTGTATATTTGGCCAAGTAGATTGATTTCAGAGAGGAAGGGAGAGGGAGAGAGAGAAACATCAATGATGGTAATCAGGGATCGGCTGCCTCCTGCACGCCCCACACTGGGGATCGAGCCCGCAACCCGGGCGTGTGCCCTGACCAGGACTTGAACCGTGACCTCCTGGTTCATAGGTCGATGCTCAACCACTGAGCCACATTGGCCGGACAGTAAACCAGTTCTCGCCAAGAGAAAAAAAGGATGAGATATATATGGACAGAGAGATGGTAAGGCAAGAAACTATGGAGGGAGGGACAAGGAGAGGGAGAGGGAGAGAGGCGGTATCTGTTTATCGGAAGCTCCCTTGCATGGCTGGGCAGGAGTCCATGGAAAGATCTAGCAGTTCATCCGCCACCTGCTGGTGGATGTTGGGGTTGCTGCCAGTTTTTCATGATTATGAGTAAAGCTGTTACGCACGTGTGTGTGTGTGTGTGTGCGCTTGTGCGTGTGCATGTGCACGCATTTGCGCTCGTGTGCACGCATTTGCATTCGTGCGCGCGTGTGTATGCATGTGCATGCGTGTGTGCGCACGTGTGTGTGTGCATGCGCCATGTCTGCATGTCACTCGGGCGCGTACCTGAGAGCGGGCCCTCTGCCGCGCAGGTCAGGCTGCGTCCTCGATCAGAAAGTGCCCAGAGGGGCTGTGCTGTGGGGTGTCCCCCGCGCCCAGCGGCCCAGGCGCCAACGCTCGGTGCTGTCAGCGGGCGGCCGCCTCACCCAGGTCTTGGTTGCGTTTCTCTGATGAAACGTCAGGCGCCGTTCCCTGTCCTCACTGACTCCTGTAGACCTTCTCTGCGAGGCAGCTAGTCAGCCTTTGTTCATTCTTTCCCTTGGGCCCTGGGCTGCGGGGACGGGTGTTTTTAATACCCAGGAGACGGCCTTCCTGTTGGCCTGTGTTTCATGAGTATTTCTCACAGCAGTGGTTGGTCTTGTCATTTTCTTAACAGCATCTTGCAAAGAGCACGTTTCTAATTTTGATGAAGTCCAATTTACCCGGTGTTTTGTTTGTTTGTTTTTAACATGGCTGGTGTCCTAAGAAATATTTGCCTACCCGAAGGTTGTGTGTTCGTGTTTTTCCCCCTAGTGATTCTGTAGTTTTAACTTTTATGTTCAGGTCAATATAGGGTTTTGAGGGAAAAAAACCCAGATATGATCTGACTTATGTGCTAAGAGCTTGTGCGTGCGGTGCACAGTGGAGGCTGGTGGGGCAGAAGGCAGCCTGGAGGGCGTCCTGGAGGCGGCGGCTGCCCCAATCTGGGCTTGCACCAGGCTGGGCAATGTTTCCAGGTAAGTCTGGAAAGACCGACCAGCAAGGTTTCAGGCTTGTTCTTCACTCCTCCCTGCATGACACCCAACTCTAAGGAACGGCACTGCCTTCTCCGAGACCCACGTGCGGGCAGTGTTACCCGAGGCCGCCTGTCTGTGCAAACCTGCCTGGGCCTGGATGGGTGCTGTGTGTTTGAACGGGTCTTCACTGTCGTCAATGACCAGGTATAAGTTTTAACCCACACGCTGTCCTTCTGCGGGCACGGCCGTCCCAAACACAGCCTGGCAGTCCACCGACTCGCTCATGAAGGATTGAGAGAAGGAAAACGATGCACCTCATGACATTCGGCGCCTCGTGCGCTGGGACTCACCGATCCCATCTCGCCTTGGCCCCTCAGCTCTGCCTGACCCGGTAGCTCACGATTGATGGCCCTGGATCGCTCCGTCTGCCAGATCCATACACTCAACTGCTCTTTATAGAATATCCACGCTGTACACTAGGAACAAGACAATAGATTTATTGCCTATGAGTCGTTGCCTTGAAAAATTACATCAATGCCAAGTGATTGCCTTTTAGCCTCCACAGCCAATCAATTTACTTGCTTTTTTGGGGGAGGGGATGGGATGAGGTCACAGGATAATATATATATCGTCGCTGATCGCAGAATGAGAAGGAGCGAAGTTCTGGAGAGCAGCAGCCGGAAGCGAGAGCCCTGTCTGGGATCAGCCATGTACCGGCTGGCCTGCTGCCTGCTTTTCCTCGGATGCCTGCAGCCTCTCCTCTCCCTCCCCGCCCCGGGTGCCAGGGCAGGGCCCCTGCAGCTCTCAGGTAAGAGGAGTTTGTTTCCCGGCGTTCGTCCTGCAAGGGCCTTGAGCAGGGTCTTCAGCGCAGTGCTAGAGAGGAGAACGGGCGTTCCTGCATAGCCGGAGTCCCGTTAAACCCAGTGCCGGCTGTGGAACGGACACTCGGGGGTCCTCACAGCACATTTCAGGTCCAGTTATGGGAACAGGTGGCTTTTCTCTCCAAAATGCAAGACTAGAACGAAGGGTGGGAGCACTGCTCATGTCGTGTCACCTCCATGATTCAAACTTTTGGTTTGGGTCAGCTTTTCAATGTTACAAGTTGCACTCAATGAAAAACATTATTCTTGTTTTAATTTTAAGTGAACTCTTTGAATGCAGAGTTTGGTTGTTCCCACTGGAGATTTAAAATATTTAAATTTTAATCCTTTCTTATTTTAAGTTGAAAAGTAACCGTCTGACGTGTCATATGGAACAAAATGTGCATTAAAAATGTAAAGAGCCACCAGCTGGAGCCAGGGAGGCCGCGGCTCCCCGCGCACACTCACCGCTCCCTGTGCGTGGATGCTGCATGCAGTTCGGGTCTGAGCTCAATTTGAAAAAATGCACGAGTGAAGCGGATACGTACTGTGCTCTCACCTCTCCAGTTTAACAAACAAAAACGAGGATTGGTGCTTAGGGAGCAGGTCCCACAAACATTTTCACTGGGTTTTATCTTGTCTTTGATTTTGGGTTTTTTAAAAACAATTTTTCTTTAAATGAAGAAAAAAAGAGTTCTTCCTAGCCACTGATCTTATAACTTCCAGTCTCTCAAGTTTCTCCCGATTTTCCGGTAATTGCCAAGCACCGCCGGTGCCTTGTGTGCTGCCAAGCGACCTCTGGAGTGGCTGGCTCATCTTCAAAAATGTGCATATTATTATGATTTTAAAAACTTAGATGAAATAAAAAAAGTATTTAAAAAAATAAAAAAACTTCAATGAAATGAGGATGCCATCTCACTCAAATTCCAAACAGGTGGCACCTGACGTTAGAGTTTTTGCCTGAATATTTTTTCTCGTCTGTTTCTCCATAAATGATCCTTTATGACATCAACACGTATATGTGGCCGGACTTCACTGGTTCTCACTCACGTTCTCAGAAGTGCTGGGACTTGCTCAGGTGCCTTTATCAGGTTGGCTCACTGTCTTTCGATGAAGGCTGCAGCTGGGGACGTGCAAGCCTTGTGTTACCTGCATCACAGGACGCCGCGTCTCCAATCTCAACACGGTGCCCCCTGGCCGAGAGCTACCCCGGCCCAGCCTCACACCCACAGGCACTACCCACACACCTTCCCTGTGCTTCCTGCTCTTCCCGTCCATATCTACTTTCTTTCTTTCTTTTTTTAAAAAATATATTTTATTGACTTTTTACAGAGAGGAAGGTAGAGGGACAGAGAGTCAGAAACATCGATGAGAGAGAAATATCGATCAGCTGCCTCCTGCACATCCCCCACTGGGGATGTGTCCGCAACCAAGGTACATGCCCTTGACCGGAATCAAACCTGGGACCCCTCAGTCCGCAGGCCGACGCTCCATCCACTGAGCCAAACCGGCTACGGCATATCTACTTTCTATCCAACTGACACAGGCCTGAGGTTGGCCGCACTTCACATGGGCAACATTACTGTCAAGCTCTGTAAAGAGGATTTGAAAGCTGCCTCTTGTCTAATAACGGCCTTGGCCTCTTAAAGGCCTGAAAGGGGCGGCGATGGCATCTCTGCCAATAGGAAGCACATAACCCTGCTCGCAGAAAGCCTGTCCTTCCCTCTCCTCTCCCGCTTTCCCACCGAGTCCCCACGAGCCAGAGGCAGCAGCAGATGCCGGGCAGGAGGAAGAGCCACCTCCAGGGGAAACACATTTAACCGATCCGGGCGCAGCTCTACCCCGACTCACGGCCGTCGACGGCATGGTTGGTCACAGGCGGTCGAGTCGGAAGTAGATCCTCTCCCCTTGGCTGGCTGTTCCGCTGGCTCGCACACTGGACCGCAGCCCTCCTGTTAATGAAAACACCACGGACGACCGGCCTAGCCGTGGCAGTTTCTCTAGTATGACCTCCCTGTGCTCGGTGCCCCGCCCCCACCCCCCCAAGACGGTGGAGAACAGAGGGAACGGATGAAAGGAACGGGCTGAAGGAGGAACCCCGTTGCTAATACCCATCCTTACTCTGTGCAGCAGATGGAGGCGGGCCAGCTCGGGACGAACTGGACAGACCGTCCCTGTCCCTTCTGCGCGGGCTGCTGGGGACGCCAGGGGCAGACACAGCTGATGGGCTCGGGAAAGCAGGTAAGGGTTCTGGTGGCGACAGCTCGTCTGATTTTATGGCTCTGAATTCGCTCTCTAGTCGCATCTCCCATGAGGCAGAGCCCTCCTCGGAACATAAAGATGCACTTCATGAAATAAGTAAACCAATCACGCGCCTGGCCCTCCCTGGCAAGGGGCCCCCTCTGCAGCCTCTTCTCTCTCCTCCCAACTCCTGGCACGCGCCGGCTCTCCCTGGCACCGGGGCATCTTCTTCTGCACAGACTTCTGTTCTGGAGGAAGAGAGGGTATATGCAGTTTCTAGTAAGTGCCGTTTCAGGTGCTGGCTTCCCATTCGCTAAAATCTTAAGCAGATGACTTAGTCTTTCTGCACCTGGTCCTTCATCAGTAGACAGGCCCGATAAAAATACCTGCCTCATAGCGTTATGATGAGGAGCCCGTGAGGAAATGCAAGCAAAATGGCCAGCACAGCCACACACACATAACAGTCACGGCCAGCGCCGCTGCAGGCGCGCCTCTGAGATGCTGCGGGTGGTTCCAGAGCCCACAACGCAGCAGCGACCGCCACAAAGCAGGTCACGCGGTACAATGAAATGTTTGGTTTCCTGGTGCCTGTGACTGTCTACACGAACTGTGTTCTATGACGTGTGCCATAGCACTATGTCCAACAACAACGCTGTGCGCACCTTAACTAACAATGCCGCCACAGAGCCTCCAGCAGGGAAGCGCCTTCCCATCCGGTAGTTTTACAGGAGATGCAGCAACGCGGTCACACCTCCCACCTCCACGCCTGGTTCTGCTTCTGGCAGTTCCTTCCTCCACGAAGTTTGAGCCCCTCGAAGCCGCCCGTGAGGGCCGGAGCCAACTTCTTCCAAACCCCTCTGGATGCTGCTACTCTGTCCTCTTCCCATGAGTCACGCTTGTTCTCGGTGGCGTCTAGAGTGGGGAGTCCCTCCCAGGTTTCAGTGGACTGTGCCCAGGTCCCCCAGAGGAACCGCCATCCCTGGCAGCTACGGCCTCACAAAATGCAGCTCCTAAATGAGACCTGACAGCCCAGGGGCTCCTCGGCCCACGGGCTGCAGACGGCTGCTGTGTCGGCACGAAAGCAGCACGACCCGCATGGTCCGTCTCCGTCCAGGTGCTTGGGTGGACGGGGCGCTGTCAGTGAGCAGTCATAGTTTGAAAAGAATCCTCCATTTTCTGGGCAGGAAGTCTCCACAGTGGCCTTAAACTATGCAGTAAACCAGCGGTGTTGTCACCCAGGTTTTGTTGGCCATTCGCAGAGCGCAGGCAAGTAGACTGAGCCTGTTCCCAAGGCTCTAGGCTTCCCAGGTGGCGAATGAGCATCAGCTTCAACCTAAAGCCGCCAGCAACATTAGCCCCCAACAGGAGAGCCGGCCTGTCCTCCGAGCCGTGAAAGTCCTGGACGGCGTCTGCTTCCCACACAGGCTGCTCCCTGCACTCGCATGTGATGACGGCTGCTCTCCTTAAACCGCATGACCAGCCTCGGCCAGCTTCCTCCTCCTGCAGCTCCCTCCCCTGACAGCCGTCCTGGGGCTGGAGAGATGGGACGTGGCTTAGGGAATGCTGTGGCTGTCGTGGGCGTCTGCCCAGATCTCTGAGCTTTCCCCACACCAGCAACAGGCTTTTCCATGTCTTATCACTCGTGTGTTCGCTGGGGGAGCGCTTTTAGTCCCTTTGCGCTCTGGCCGGTGTGGCTCAGTGGTAGAGCAGTAGCCTGCGCCCTGAAGAGCTGTGGGGTTGATTCCCGGTCAAGGGCACGCACCTGGGTTGCAGGTTTGACCCTGTCTCACATCTCATATCGCTGTTTCTCTCTCTCGCTCTCTCCCTCCCTCTCACACTCTCTGAAAATCAATGGAAAAAATACCCTTAGGGGAGGATTCACAAAAAACAAAACAAAACAAAACAAAAAATACTTCCCCTTCCCATTCACAACTTGGCTAAATGGCTCCAGCAGCCTGGTGTTTGGCCTCTCAGTTTCCACATGCCTTCCTCACTAAGCGTAGCTTTTGGTCTAAACAAGGGAGCGATGCGTTATCCCTCCGTTCACTTGAACACCCGAGGCCACTCTAGGGTTACTCATTGGCCTCATTTCACTACTGTTGTGTCTCAGGGAGCAAGGAGGCCTGAGGAGAAGTGAGAGACAGGGGGACGGCTGGTTGGCGGAGCAGCCACAACACGTATCTGAGTCACCATCTTGTATGTGTTGGTCTGTGGCACCCCTAACAATGACAGTGGTAACACCAGAGATCACTGGCCATCGGTCACCAGTGATGAGAAACCCTGAAACACCGGGAGGATGACCGAAATGTGGCCGAGACTGAAGTCCGCAAATGCTGTTGGAAACAGAAACTTGACCGAGGGACTCGTTCAGCGCAGGGCGCCAGGCCTTCCCGGTGCAACCAAGGCAGGTCTGTGAGGCGTGTGACGCAAAGTACAACACAAGGTTTGTACTCCCTCCAGGACCGCACTTCTCCAGGCACTGCCACATGCCCAGGGCATTCCGGAAGGAATGGAGACTTCTCATAGGCATTGTTTAATAGGAGGGAGTTGGTTATAAAATGTTTTTGATAAACCACTGACCTGCTAAGTGTTGAGGACAATGCAGCGCCCCGTGAATTCTGCAGGAGAGAGAACAGGGTGTGGGCTGGCCTGCCGTCAGGCGAACACCGCTGCGGGGGGGACAGGAAGGCCAGAAACGAGACATGCGTCAGTAATAGTCCAGCCTGTAGTTTACATCAGACCAGCGTGAAGTGGGAGCAACAGATCTGATGATGAACCGTTTCACAATACTGTTTTCTAGATGCCGGCATCAACGTGCGTAACCCAAGAGGAAACACGAGAAAGGTGAGTGACTGCGTGAGGCCTAAAAGGGTGAGAGATGCTGACACTCGGACCCCCCGCCCCCAGCACCACGGAGCCCCAGTCTGCAGCTCACCAGGGTCCCGGGGGGCGGGGGAGTCTGCTTCAGACGGAGGAGCTTCGAGAAGCACTGAGCGTAACATCTGAGGAAGGACACACGCAGACACTGAGGGGGAGGGTGCGCGTGGAGGGGGGAGGGGCTGGGGCAGCAGGGAGACTGTGTGACGGGGACGATGGACGACACCGAATGTTAGAAATGAGGACCATGAATGGGGGCCTTGAATGCTGAAAGAGAAACCTGAATCTGATCATCAGCCACCCCAACTCTAAATCCACGTTTCCTAACGGGCTTTCTGGGGACCCCAGTCCTGAGCCCGTCCGCAGCCGAGCACCGTCCCAGCCCCACTCCTGCCCTGGCGCACCTCTGCCCGTGGGCACATGGAAGCCCAGGAATCCCTGAGCAGCTCATTTCACTTCACCAGGCCTTTCCCAGACACTCTGACCAGAGGCAGCTTCTCCCGCTAACATCCTTGTACGAACTTACTCAGGGACACGCGGTCCCAGGGACGGCACGCCACCTGAGCCCCATGGGGGAGACCACCTGGGGTCCCACCTGAGCCTCACCTGGGTCCCTCCTGGGGTCCCACCTGAGCCCCACCTGGGTCCCTCCTGGGGTAACCCTGAAGGGGATAAGGCGCTTCTACCTGTGACTAATTAGAAGTCATCATTCAGATGTTTATATTCTCAACAGAAGGATTCTGGTTAAAGACTCTAATATCATATGGGTGATTTGCTTGTGAAAATTTAGAATACCCCCCAAACCAAGGGTCCAAGAACTTAGTTTCAAGCCAAGTAAGATCTGCTTTACACAGAAGATAACGCATGTCTGGAACTTGTTACGAAGAAGTTATTTTAAAAAAATATCTTATTGATTTCAGAGAGGAAGGGAGAGGGAGAGAGAGAAACATCAATGAGAGAGAATCATTGATCGGCTGCCTCCTGCACACCCCCTACTGGGGATGGAGCCTGTAACCTGGGCATGTGCCCTTGCCCGGAACTGAACCCGGGACCTTTTAGTGCGCAGGCCGACGCTCTATCCACTGAACCAAACTGGCGAGGCCACGGACAGATTGCTTAAATAGAAATAGGTGGACGAGGGTGCAGGGAGACTCTCAGCAACCGTAGGGCTGCACACACTGGACGGGCCACTGGTTAGAGCCCACATGCTGGGCTCCGACTGCAGTTAAGGCCCTGAGAACAGGAGGAAAGGCCTCACACCTGGACCCCAGTTCCTTTTAACTCATTGATAATCCGTCTGTTTTTGTTTGTTGGGTCTCGGTTTCAGGCTTTCTCCGGACAAGACCCCGACATTTTACTGAATCGACTTCTGGCCCGAGTCAGGGAGCAGCACGAGAAGCGTGGGCACCCCTCTGAGTGCTTCTGGAAATACTGCGTCTGAAGTGAGGACCACCTACTTGTCAACTCAAAACCAACCGTCTTAGAAATTAACAGCAGACACGCTTCATCTGAAAAGAGCCCAGAAGAAACGCTAGGCAAACTCTGCCCTGTTCGTTGTCATTCGGAAAATAAATCCTCTATGTTTTGCAAATAGCATCCGTGGTTATTTAATTATAAACATACTAGAGGCCTGGTGCATGGGATTCGTGCACTGGGGGGGTCGGGGGGGTCCCTCAGCCCAGCCTGTGCCTTCTCGCAGTCCAGGACCCCTTGCTCCTTACCGCCCGCCTGCAGAGGAGGCGGGAAAGGCTCCTGCCAGCCATGGGCCTGGCTTCCGGCTGAGCAGCCCTCCCTCTGCGGAGTGCACTGATCACCAGGGGGCTGCTCCTGCATTGAGTGTCTGCCCCCTGGTGGTCAGTGTGTGTCATAGCAACCGGTTGTTCTGACCTGTTAGGTCAATTTGCATATTATGCTTTTATTACATAGGATTCTAAAATCTCTAGCTCTTCTTTCAATTGATTTTTTAAGAAAATTATCTGAAAATGTAAAAATAAAGCTAATAAATGAACAGAAGCAAATGCTAAGAAAAAGTCCTAAAAGGAAAATTTAGTTAAAATAGTTAAACTGCAAATCATTTAAATAAATGACATCTTAGCTATGACCTCCTCTCAGCCCTCAAAAATGATGACATGAGTTATTACTTACAAAACCCGCATCTCCACTTGGAAACCCCCGGGAGCGAGGGAGGCCACGGGACTGGGACCGTCTGAGTCCCGAGGCTGAGGGGGGGGGGGGGTCACGTGCTCTGCCCCGTCCCTTAGCTGACCACGTGCTGAACGTGGGAAACCTGAATCTGCTGACACTGAACCAGGTTTGATCTCAGTTCCCGTGGCCCATAAATCACAATCCCATTCTTACCAACCAGGAAGGTGGGTGGGACTTACGGCCGTGGAGGGGACGGAACAGCCTGGCGTGTGGGACCCTACGTTCTGCGACTACACCTACGCAAACGGGGCCAGGCGGCGGAGCACAGGGAGCCCGAGAGCGTCCTCCAGCAGGAACAGACCACCTCGGCGCCCCCCGAGCCCTGCACGCACCTCACCACCACCTGGGAGGGGCAGAGCGGCAGCGCTGCCCACTGATCTCAGCAAACACCAGTCTCGCACAGGGCACAGGCCAGGTCAACCTCCCGTCCTCACTGCAGACAGGCCGACGGGAAAGATGCCTCAGGGCCGGGGAGCGGCTACGTCACCGGGAACACGCTCACGCTCGGGCCGCGGGGGGAACACGGGTGTCTCGCGCTGAAGCGGCACCAATACGAACTCACCAGCAGAACTTCGCGCCACAGACAATTCATATTTACGATCCCGGAGAGAAGGCGAGCTCCACTGCACACGGCTCTACACCCCTCCCTGGTGTGGGGACGGGAGGCCGCTATCCGGACAGATGGGCTCTGCGGTCAGGTTCCACGGTCCGAGCCTGTCCCCACGCACGTGGGCACCTGGCGGGAGCCCTCCCCAGGTGGCACCCCGCCCACCTCAGCTCCTTCTCTGGGAAACTGTCTTCTGCGTGTCCTGCTGCTTGTTATAGAAGGTGCCGACGGCTGAACGGTGGACCATTGGCAAGCCCTGCTGGTTCCAGGCTCGGATCCTATTTTAATTGTGAGATGTTGCTGCCACCAGTGACCCAGACTTGGTGAAGACGGGTTCACTGGAGGGTGCTGAGGAGTCACTTGGTAACTGACTTTATAAACTCGGCACTGACATTAGTATTAACCACGTGGGCACAGATTCAGGACCTACTGACGCCTCCGTGTAAGGACTGGGAAACACCAATTGTCCACAAGCACTCACACCCCCACAGCTCACACCCTCACAGCTCACACCCCCACAGCTCACACCCCACAGCTCACACCCCCAGCTCACCCCCATAGCTCGCACCCTCACACTCACAGCTCACACCCCCACAGCTCACACCCCCATAGCTCACACCCTCACACTCCCACAGCTCACACTCACAGTTCACACCCCCACAGCTCACACCCCAACGTGAATCCTGCTGAGTAACCAGCTCGCCTGGGCCATGTCCCTCCTCCCCCCTGACACACCAGACTCAGGGTGAAGGCCTGTCGCACTTCCCAAGCTTTACATGTAGTTTATTTACTGCTTCCATTTAAAAGAGATCCCCCATTAAAATATTGACAATTATTAAAAACAAGTGGACTCCCACAGCTAATTATAAATTCAGCCGAAACAAAAGTTCATGTGGATTAAGCTGACCTTGTGAACATAATGAAATGTCACTTAGATGCAAAACGGTCCCATTCATACAGCACTTTCGTTCTCCTAAGCCCTGACCTCTCACCCGGGAAGTACAGCCTCTCGGGCAACATGTATGTAAACATCGGAGCCTGTGACACACGTGTCATCAGCACTTTCTCGAGGCATCAGTACAGCAGCTCTAAGCCCGCAGGACCAGGGGTGCTGGCGGCCGTGGGGAGCGGTCGGCCTCCCTCCTCGCCGCCCAGCGCCCGCAGCCCGGCCTCCACGGGCACCGGCTGACCCGCGGGCTGAAACCGAGTCCAGACGCTGAGGAATCTGCCCACAGCGAGCACCAGTTTCAGATCAAGCCCCGGGGGCGTGCACTCAGAAGGCAGGGAAGGCAGCGGGTGCAGGTACAACCACGTCCGGAACACGCGGGAAGGGCTCGCGCTGTGGGACACAGGTTTAAAACACGCCCGCACGGAGCAGCGCGGCCCGGACAGCTGCGCGTCCGCTCTGATTGGAAGTCACAGTGATTCTACGGGTGCACAACAGCCAGGGTGACTCATCAAAAAAATGTGGCATTTTTCACCAAGAGCAAACATAAAAAAACCACACAACTTGCCCAGCACAACACGGCTTCAGAAATCATTTCACAGTCTAGATGGAGGGGAACATTAGGTCCTCGTTCATAAAACAGGCGTATCTGCAGGGAGCCGCTTAATATTAAAAAATGCCAAGGAATGTCATCGGAAGCATCTGGAGAAGGTCCTGACCCCGTAAAGGACAGAATCTCCTTCCAGGGAACTAGACTCTGCACAGAGGCTACGCCCCGGGGACTGGGAGTCAGGGGATCAGAATGAGGCCCAGCAGGGTCGAGTCTCCTAATGTCACCAGGACGCATTTTACAAAACCTGTAAAACTCGGAGGAGGAGCAAGTGTTTTCCTAAAACAAAACAAAACACTCACACACACACAGACACATACAGACACACACACAAAAACAAAAACGGATAAAGGACTTAAACGTAAGACTGGAAACCACAAAAATCTTAGAAGAATCCATAGGCAGCAAAATATCAGATGTAAGTCGTAGCAATATCTTTACCAATACAGCTCCTAGGGCAGCCGTGGGCAAACTACGGCCCGTGGGCCGGATCCGGCCCGTTTGAAATGAATAAAACTATTGAAAAAAAAGACTGTACCCTTTTATGTAATGATGTTTACTTTGAATTTATATTAGTTCATACCACCAGAAAGAAAAACAAGTGCATCCGTGCAGAGGACAGGCTCCCGTGACCCACGTCTCCTCCTTCCTCTTTCTGACCTGCGTGGAGGGAGCTGCATGCCTTCCCCGCCTGAGCAGGAGCAGCAGGAGCAGGAGCAGGAGCAGGAGCAGCAGCAGGAGCAGGAGCAGCAGCAGGAGCAGCAGCAGGAGCATCAGGAGCAGGAGCAGGAGCAGGAGCAGGAGAGGAGCAGGAGCAGGAGCAGCAG